GGGCACTGCCTGGTGTGCATGCTCATTCGTGCGGTGACCACTGAATAAGACCCCGTTTCTGTACGGCAACGAGCACGCCACATCGAGATAACGAACAACTGTGGGCCACCCACACGGACCATCGGATCTAATGAAGACAAAGGCGTCCAGACATTAGCAGAAGTAAACTTATTTATCAACCTCATGTAAGCTCAACAATTTAAATACATGTTGATTATAAAAGAGTAAAACTTTCAAAAATCAGATATAAGTACGGTAAGCGGCAAGAAACAGCAAGAGTAGCCTCTTTTGTACATGAATCAGTTTTTGGACTTGCTGTAATGGTTGGAATAAACTGAAGATGGGCGAATTTCACACGATCGCTAGAGGTCTCATAGAGTACATTTTTCAGAAGAGCAGTTAGCTCAACAACAACTACAAGTTAATGACAGCAGGTGATGACAACTTGTTTTGTGAGTAGTGCACTTGTTTTCCGTAAACAGCGTGGAATACCAGGCATTTTGACATCTGTTGGGCTGTACACGCAGGATCTGTTCCAGGAACGACAAAGAAACAACGAGTGCAAAGTTTTGGAATGCGATATATTTTCGCCAGAGGTCTTCAACCCTCAAAATCAGCGGGAAAACCTGCAATCGAATCCGAAAAGGTGCTTGGTTCGATGCAACACGTTCCATATGGAGGTTGCTTCGTTACAAGTTACTTCACAATAATTGAATCCTTACAGTTAGATGCTGAGAGAAATAAACAGTCGTGTGGCTGACGAAGAAAAAATATAAGTGGCCATGCAATGAACGACAAAATTAGCCATTCGATCCCACAACTTGCCGCAAGATTACGCCACTTATCTTTCGATATTCCGTTCTCATGCACTACGTTACGCATTGAGTTCATTAAATCATTTTCGTCAAAGATGGTTGTTACCAAAATAATGGGACGATTGGACGTCATTTTATCATGTATCTCAGGTCCCAAAGAACTCAGACTGCGCACTGAGTCCAGGAATTCGCGTCTCAATGCAGCAAACTTCTTTCCGAACTATAAAAGCCCACCATTGCTTGTGGTGAAGATCTAGGTACCCTCTAGTACGGCTATCTCAGGTTACCGGAGAAATTACCCTCGGACAGAATTCAGTATAACATCAAGGGAAGAATTGCACAGTAATATTGCAGCCGAATTTATAAAGGAACTCGGCACGCTCCGTAAATCACGGGTATGGGACAACGAAATGAATGGAAAATGTACTGGGGCAATCACGTACCCAGGATTCCTATTCACAACAAATTTGTAAAAAAGAAATACTGTAAAAACTAAGGCGAACTCACTGAGTAAAACATGTGTACGCGGCTTCCCTAATTCTTTCTGAGAATAAGTCAGCATGTATGGAGGAACCGGTTCTTATCACAATTCCTTCGAAGAGTAACGACATCAGTGCTTGCAAAGTTCAATCTACTAATCTTTACCGCAAAAGTACCCCTCTTCTAATCTGCTGTGATTTTTGATCTACCAGTCTTCGATGATTTGTGGTGGTTAATACATGAACGCCACTAATCTTAATATCAGAGAGGACCAGTTCGCACAAACTACTAACATGTAATTAGCTAGAATCTCTCAACGGTTTACCACTTCATCGTGGCTGGGAGGTGTTCCTATATGTCGGGCTGCGATGTACAGCGGGGAATTCATCCGCACGGCAGAGTCTCTCATGTTGAGGACGAGTCCGATTTTTTCATCAAGAAGCCTAGCTAAGAGTAAACCAATACCTGGGTCGACCACTGTTCTGGTACCAACCTAGTCGCATGGTGACAAATCTCCGTCTGGTCCACAAGAGCTGCGGCTGCCCGTGCTGGTGATGACCTGGGGCAGACCTTGGCTAGGCTGACCTTGGCGCTCCAGGAAAACACAATAGCTAAACCAACCAAACTCCAAAAAGTGGGGACTGTTCTACTGCTCGCACAACCAATGAGGACGGGCCGTCCAAATGTTCAAGTATGAAAGTAATTTGCTAAAATAGATTTTTAAACCACCTTGTTTTGTTTTTTCGGTGTTTGTCGTATTCAAATCCTAAGATAGGCGCGTTACACCGAAAAAAATTGAAATTCGAGAATAAATCCACTCAAATTTGAGTGTAACGCTCCGGTTAGAGGTGGCCAGTAATATAAACATGGTTGTTGGTTTGAACCTACGCCAGAGGTTAACGAAGCCCTCCATCACTCCGTGAATGGTAAATTGATACCAGATTTGTCTGGGAGGATAAAGACTTGGACTTTATACGTCCATAATCCGCATATTATTGCATAGGATAAAAAATCACTTCTACGACGTTGCGAATAGAGTCCAATACATGGCGCATCTTTCTCCAAAGGATTGGACAATGCCGAACGTTTTATCTGTATTATCAAAAGTTAATTGAATAGTGTCTCCAGAAAAAGTCTGGGCCCCCAGTGATCAGCATTGAGGCGATCAATGAGGTGTGGTTGTCGTCAGTCGCGTGCTAAACGGCGGGGGCGGGAGGGGTGGCCTCAACCTGATTAGAGGAATCGCGACGGGCAAGGCAACCCGACGAAGGTCGCAGGACAGCAGAGCCATCCGGGTACCGTGCTCTCCACTCCGGACCGGTTCGACAGTAATCGGACTTTCGAGATACACCCTATACAGGACGAAACAGTAGCGATTACAGATTCGAATGCGACTGTAGTCGTGGTTGAAATTCTTAGCTGTGTGAGGAAAAACCTTCAGGAAAACCAAAGAGGAATGGATCGCCTTGGTCGTACTCTCTGTTCTTCTGAAACAACTTTCCGAACTCGAGTCACAATTTTAATGGGGGTAAAAAGAGAATGCGAAAAACTCGAAATATGAAGAGAACTGGAAAGACCGACTTTCTATCAACCTAGGTATAGATAGTTGATATATTTATTTATGTGATCTTATAAACTGATCTTCTTAAGCTAACGCGAGGTTGGTACAGATCTTCGTTGTCGTTGTCGTTGTTTTTGATGTTGCTGGTCGATGGCAGACGTTTCGGCGACTTCGCCTTCCTCAGAGCCGTGATGTTACTTGCGGGCGTATAAAGAGAACGTTTTGAATATTTTCATTCGTTTTCTGCTCTTTTTAGAATGTTTTCAACGTGCTGGAACTTCGCAAAAGCGACTGACAACGATGTGAATGAGCAAACCGGTAACAAGTCGGTATGAATGGAATACAAATAATGAACGGATGAATGAGTGAAAAAATGAACGGACGGGAAACAAAATATGAATAAGTAAATGGATTCTAACAAGGCAAAGATTTGTTATTAGAAGGCGAAGAAAAACCGATTCAGTTGGAACATTTTTACCGATTCTCGATAAGATACACGAAACCCCAATTCAAAAAGCCATTTTGTTCTTTATGTAGCAGAAGTCGTTATTATATTTATATTTGTACCAATATTCCCGCCAAAAATATAATGTTTGTATGTTTTGTTTTTACGAGTTCTAATGGTGAACTGAAGATATTCTAGGCAGAGATGGAGAAGGCATGCCGGAATTCAAGTCGAGGTGTTTCATTGAAAACATTCACAGAGATGTTCTTTGAAATTCCGAAATATGGAAATAATAAATATTTTTTGAAAAAGGTGGATGATAGAGGTAAAATCAACTAAGACACGAAGAATGGTATGGAATAAGGAAGAGAGAAAAAAGTTCAATCATTTAACCAACCACTGAACAAGGAACAGTATGAAAATAGACAAAAACAAATGGATAAAAGGAAAAATGTAGGTACTCACTAAATTGAGAGATTCTCCTTTGCACACGAAGTGAGTCGTGGATATGGGCCCCAACCACCTGAATTACAGAATAGTTCTTTCTGGAAATTTTGTCCCCCGTAGGATTTTTATTCCATAGATTTCTACGAATAGTTCTATTTCGTAAGATGTCACTTCGTTAAAGTGTATCAATAACTAGAAACAGCTTTTGACAGACTTCGAAAACAATATAGTACTAGTGGAAATATCAAACTAATCGATTAGATAGCAAAGACGTATTTAAAGAAGTAAAATTTGAAGAGAAATGATCCACCGGCTAACGGCTTGAATAGAAGAAAGCAGTTAGGACTACGGTAAGTGTGGTTCGATGTACTCACAGCGACTGCTTCGCGCTTTCTGTCGAGTTGCATGTTGGTCGTATCCCTTGCCATTCTCACCAACGACTTCACAGCGATTCCTGCACGAATCAGGCTTTTACAGAAATTTCTCATTTCTCTGTTCCTCCTAGATTTTTTTCGTCATGTGATGATTTGATCTCTACTTTCTCATGAATTATAACAGCGTCAGAATGTCAACAATTACACATATCATCTCATTACAGCTTTTTCTAAACATCTACAAAACAATTTTTCAAAAGCCGACTTCCTTTCAACCTCTGTATGACTGACTAACATGTATTTTCCATTGATAAGTTAGTCTTAGGTTAATCAAAATTTTACTCAGCTCGAATTTTTAGAAAACAACTGAAAGGTACTGCGTCATGTTGTAAAACGATACATTGTCCATTCAATTCAAAACTATGGGCACAACACAATGATGCTGAGATATTTGCAAAACTTCGCAAACGAACGCGATATCACCCTTTCCGAGGGCTAACGCGTTGGGAACCACACCATGCGGGTACTTTTTCCCCCTGTCTACCTAGAACTAGCTGACAGACAAGCGAAACGAAGGACCGGCAAGGCGTGGTGGAGAACGCATTAGCCCCCGGAAAGGGTAATGGCGCAGTCGTTCCTCACCGCAGACACTTACGGTCCGGAGTTTTGCAAATATCTCAGCATCATTGTGGTTGTATTTCTCATAATACTCTGCCATGAAAATTTTTAGAAGTCAGTAGTTAACGCTATAGATAGAACTTCGTGTAGTCAAATCGGCTAGCTATGCTTCTCTTCCTCATAATTGCCTTCAGAAACCCTCACTGATTTTGGCGTGCAGCTTTTACTCACAATTTTTGCACGGTTAAGATTAAATCTGTCTAAACAGTAATTCTTATTATTGTTTTAATAGTGTTCATACCTGATTGCCAGTTAAAAAGTCTCCAAAACAACGCTGGTAAATAGAAAAGAATCGCTTGTAAACCGAGAATAAATGGTACCCATTGGTAGTAGCCTAAATAGAAGGAGATTGATTGATGAAGACAGTGATTTGGCATTTTATTCATGGCGAGGAACATCTTTGTGCTTGTCCCTAATCATTGAAAACTCTTCTGAAACACAAATGGAAACAAATTTCAATATAAAGCGAATGATTGAATGAAAAACAAGGAAGTTCATCATCCTGAAATTTCATACAATGCCTTGCAGTCAAGAGAAGTTTGCTCTCTCTCTTTCTTCCTCTCTTTCTTTTCCTCCTATCGTTTTCTCCTCCTTTTTTCTGACTCTATCTGTTTCTCTCTCCGCCAGTATACCTGTCTCTTTCTGCCTTCTTGTCCTTGTTTCTATCACTGTCTGTTTTCGTATTTCACTCTATCACCTTCCGCATCCTTTTTCTTTCACTATAGCGTTAAATTCATTTGCCACTAATTCAAAGAACATGAGTGAAGTGCAGAAAAAGATGGAGAGCTACGGCAAAATGGTCCATTTAATGTAGATCGGATCCCAAAGCCATCAGCTGATAATGAAATGTTCACCATTGTTTTTCTGCATTACCGCAGAGCACCTAGACAACTCGTACGCAAGTCACTCATTGCTCATATTAAGACTATCTATCCTACCTCAACTCCTCAACGATTGTTTAATGACCAGCTCTAGTAAAGTGTAATGGAACCAGTTCACTCATATTTTAGCAGAAAACGCTGCCTTTTGTTACGATGGCGAAAAGTGGTTTGTTGAAACAGGAAGACTATCAACATTGCGATTCTAGGAAGCAACGTTAATATCCTCCTATTCTTTCCTTTTTTCCTTTTAACGCATCAACATAAACCATATAGAGACAAGTTGTCATTTTTCTTCAATTTTCGGTCAACTCTAGCATTAGGTTCCATTACAAACAGCATTGTTCGAATGAGCATCAATCCACTTCCTAGTGTTCCTTCCAAGGAGACACGTTCTACTTTGATCCACAGTGTTGTTTCTACTTATAATTAATTTATTGTGGAATGGATAAAAACTGACTACCCATTTCTATAGGATTCTCAGAGTTTATATCTTTGTAGAACAATCTGAATTGCTAATTGTCATTATAAAGACATTAGTCAAAACTAGCTGAGAGACAGGCGAAACGAAGGACCCGCATGGTGTGATGGTGAACGCGTTGGCTCCCAGAAAGGCTAATAGCGTGTTCGTTCTCTACCGCAGATACCTGCAGTCCGGACTTTTGTAAATATCTCAGCATCATTATGGTTGTATTTCACATAGTACCCTGCCATGGAAAATTGTAATAGGCAGCAAATAAAAGGGTTAACAAAGACAATAATATTTGATTGGATCGTTTATCTATCTGATATCAGAGCTCCTTTGCAGAAATTTTCATCGCTCACCGATCTCGTTGTTTTCGCGATCGACGATACTGTCCGGTATGTAGTGATCGGGCCGAACGAAGTACGTGTTTTGCACGAAGCAGTAATTCTCACTGTACTGCTCCCATGCGCCTGGAATTTGCTACGGCACAAGTACTGTAGTATAGTAGCGTTGGCTCAACCAAGATCACAATTTTGTAATGTATAACAGTTACTGTGATGCACACTACTAAGCGCACTAAAAATACGTTTACCCGTATGCTACTGTAATAAGCCTGTGTCTTTCTCTCCGACATCCTGTATGGCTTACTGGATTTCACTTACAGCCAAGAAAGGATCACAGTTCAGCGCTACCAAAACGATAGACACCCCTCGTAATATACAACTTTAGACGTTCTACTCAAAAAATCTCCGTTCGTCGATGAAAAGAATGGGAAAACACGTACACTTTGTTGTACTTGCTCGCTATCGCTTGGTTTTCAGTGGCAGAAACAAAGATCAAATGCAAATTCAAGGATTACCACGGCATCCAGCTCTGGTAGCTGTGGAAAATTACACTATCAACGGCATAACAGCTGAACATGTAAATTATTAACACTTGAAGTTTGATGTGAGTGGATTTCCATGAGAGATCGTCTGATGTAAATCAATATCAACTCATCTTTGTGGTCGCTTAATTTGCATCAGTGGGGTTTCCCGCTACAATTTTCTTTTCAGTGTACAAATTTTTCAGCACAGACCCGCATACCATATAGTGGAGCAGAAATGCTATTCTATACACTTAATAATGCACAAGAAACTGCTTTTAGAGCGAGTTTTTTCGATGAACAATAAAGCCTGTTGCTGATAAGGATTTTAAGAAGGTGATGAAAGTATCACAGATGAGTGCACTAAAATGCCTCTGCGTCCTAGGAGTGTAATCAAATAGTTCACTGCGGTTAATAGATTTCACTACCCACAGAAGCATAAAGACTGCTGCTGAGGAGAGTATATATATATATATATATATATATACATATATATATGTCGGACATGAGAGGCAGGCCGGCTTACGTGAATTCAGTGCAATTCACAACTTCTGTGGCAAAAAATTAGGCGCCAGAGTTCAACCGCTGGTGAGCTTTATATTTTTCAAATATATCCACAAAAGCTCCCTTCCAGTTTAATTCAATATCACACGTTCGTTTTTTTGTGGGTTATTTTTGGAGAACGGTGGAAAATTAAATGAAAGTTACCTGTGAACTGAGCAGGGATCCAGCACTGAATTGGTTGACCGACATACCTGCAATGATCACAGTTTCTAACTTTTTGTGCAGCAGAATGATAAGTTCTTATAAGTTCACGTTTTCATCCTTAAATGTTCTCTCGGACACAATCAAGTGAATGTCAATTATACGTGGAGGCATTCCGAATCCATTTTAATGATTTTTCTCCAAATTTTACATAAATTTATTCTGTACAAGGGGATTCTAAAGAAGTGGTCAAGCGGAGGCGAAGGTTCCACTGACGGCCCGGTTATTGAAATCGATAAAGAAAACACTTTTGAAGCACTGCAAATAGGAAAAGCACTAAGTCATAGTGGTGGCTTTGATGACTTGTTACTGGCTGCTTTCTAGTGACTTACATTTTCAAAATGTCCTGCTGATTTTGAATCTAAAAAAACTCAAAATAGGTTCCTGAAAAATCGGTCGGATACTTGTTCAGTCCCTATTTATCTACGGTAATGTGCTGGCGTGAGCGCAATCTCGTCCCTCTAATCGCCCTTGCTCCCACGACCTCCAAAGGAGACGAGCGAGTTGGCCACCAACGCAGCCCTCTGTTGAACTTGTCCATTCGTCTGCATTTGCATTATGATAGCATTTGTTGTAAACGGCAGCTATGACTGCAGTGACCTTCAGAGACTTGTAGTATCGGCTGGCAATAATGTGAAGGTGGTCCTTAATGAACGCGAACAGTGAGTAGAACTGGAGCGACAAAAAAGCGTTTTGACTTAACAGCTGAAGGAAGAAAAATCAGGAAACGAGCAAGTTGCTACTTTTTTCTCCACAGATGATCCCCCTATTCGTGGATGTTCTTTTACACATGAGCAAAGACTTACTTCCTGAAAGGACCGGTTGCTATTTCGATGAAGTTAGATGTCAGAGAATGGTCGAGTTCTCGAATACTCAGTAATTTGGTACGTATCAGCGCCCATATTCAGTTTTGTTGGTTCTCGAGTTTCTTCATGGCACTATAGCTAGTCCAGATCAGATCAAAATTAGAGGATTGGGAGAGGAAAAACCATTTTCCACACTTAATGGTTTGCAAAATAATCCTCTCTTCCAAAAAGCCCATTCGTTGGTAATTTAGCCAACAATTTATTGTTACTTCACTGCTAGTCGCTATGTTTATTGTGCAGGATGTGTGGATATAAAAGCACCGGAATAGGCTCAACATAAAATGCGAAATACTCTCAAATGCCGACAGCAATGCTTCTACGATATGTATCACAGTGAGAAATACTAGCTTACATATAATTCATAACCATAGAATTATAGGGCAAAGTCTCTTTTATAATTCTGCCGTTTTCACAACACTAAATCGGTCTAGTTAATGAAAAATGATTTTTTTACCCCCCAAAAACCAGTAAGTCAGCAGCCGACGAAAAATTGCTCGTATTTGATTGGGCCAACTGAGCCAATAAGGTGGGAGATTTTGGGAACCGTTGAATGAAACGTCAAAAACAAAGCTAACTATTTGAATAGAATCCATCCAGTTGCATTTTCTGTGCAACCATTTAGTATTGTTAAAGAGAGAGAATGGTTTCTTTGAGCGGATTTTCGTCGTATTTGGCGACATTTAATTTTTCGACAATTCAACACAAACTTACTGTTTAGCGCTCAATGTGAGTGAAAAAAGTACGAAAAGCATCGGTGTGTAGTAGTAGTTCAATCGATCGCATGAATCATCATCGTATTGAGGTTTGAGGCCCTTGAGAAATGCGTCCAAAAAGAACATCCTGTAAATGGTGACTTCAGGAAATCACTGAAGGACCCATCGTTTGCCACAAATTACTAACATACCACGGTTGTCGCGTTAAATTATTCATTTGAGGCCGGTTTTATGAGTGCCTACGTGAAGAGAACACATAACACGTCACAGTAGAAAAAATGAAGAAAAAAGAACTACCACTATTTACGACCGAGCCATATTTTGCAGAAAGAAATTATGAGAAACGAGAAAATGAAGCGAAATTCGAAAAGAAGAAAATGACAAGACATCGAAATGAATAGGATGAAAAATAGTTGTGTATGAAAATCACGTAATACTTCAATGAATGAAGCACTGTATGACCGCTGAACGAAAGTGAATATTAAACGAAGAGCCATGAATAGAATTTGCTTAAGCGCAAAAGGAATGAAGACCATTCTATTCATTGCGTATGGAAATTTTCTAATGTGCTGTGCTCATAGGACGTCAAACTGACGCTTAAATTCTTTTAAGACCTTAAGGATACAGTTTAGATTGGTGCAAAGATGGCATACGAAATAAAATCTTGAAATGAAATTGATTGAAATTGAAAATCGAAATGAAACTTTTTGATTCATTACGACGACGTTTAAGATAACGCTCGGTTGTTGCTGATTAGAACAGCTTTTGAACCAGCTAAAGTTGAACTGATGCAGTTGGAGATGTCTTATGTGAGTGAGTTCATAGAAATGTATGGATCAATCGTTATGCTGATCGAGGATTTCAGGCTACCGTACTCCTATCGTTTTCCCATTTCAGTAGGTTGAGAGAATAAAAAAGCTGGAAGGAAAGAAAGTTCTACTCGCAGTCGTCGATTAAAGCGAACTTAGTAATATATTATTGTAGATTGGGTTTTGAGAGCGTGTGTATACATCTGTGTGTCTGGTATGAAGACGACGATTGATGGCGTGTCGGGAAAGGAAAAGTGGAAAGATGAACGACATTAGCGGAGAACAGAAGACAGTGTAAGTAGAAGCAGGTGGTGGTGGAGTGGAGGTGGTTGACGGAAGAGACGACCAAAACACACGTCATCAGAATTCGTGCCAAAAAGCACTGTAACCCAAGAGAATTTTGAGAGCTACGATGGAAAACGAACGATGTTCCGACTCGTTTCGGATGATCTAGCTCCAATCGATTTGCGAAATTGGACCCTATTAGGATCGATCGATGCGGCGGCTACTGTAGCAAGCCTCTGCCGCCAACCGGTGCGAGGTCGACTGCGAACGGCGGGATTCTGTCGCCGTCTCGTCGCTCTGCATCTCCTCCCTATAGCCATTCTCGGCATGTCGGCGTCTTCAGCAACCGCACGTCTACGTGCGCTCTATCACCGCCACCGTAGCCTGACTCCTTCCATCGTGCCGGTTCTTTCTGATGATGGCAAGTGTCTGACGTCTCTTGTTTTTAATGCATTTCAATCACATACGTTTACTGCCTCCGCTTCTCAACAATCACATAATAGCGCCGTGTTTGGCCAGTGTCCAAAGGTAAACTTGAAACCACAAAAAAAACTTTCTTTCAGCAAAACTCAACAAATCTCATACAAGTACTTAAATTTCAGTGAATCAGTACTATGATTATTACGATTATAATCGTCACATATCATCAGACCATACGCTATGCATATCAATGCGGCAGAAGCACTAATTTAGGCTCGGCAGTTAAATAATGAACATATACAATCGAAAAATCTGAGAAATCAGTAGATCGGACAAAGTGAAAGCTCTTCGGACGAAAACAGGACTGAAGGTATGACGAATTATGACACCGTGCCAGTTACTCTGCATGCTCTAGTGTCGTGATATTGTCGTCTACAGATCAGATTCGCTGATCTTCTTGTCCGACAGAAGAAGAGGTTCGGCGTAAAATGGTGGATTCTTGCTTTTGGACTCCATGAAATCCTTCCATAACGTTCTCAGCAACGCCAACGTCACCATGTCGCCAGAGTTCTCGGCTTAACAGGAAACGGATTGCTACAGTACTGAATTGAAATCGATGCAACGTCGGATTTTTGGATGGAGCTTTTCAAGGAAGTAAATCCCTATGAAAAAGCTTTACCGTTAGCGTTCAAATTATTCGGTTTCATCCTGCTTCATATTTATGATATTTTTGTGACTTCAGTGTTCAGATACGTTAAAAATTTCTGTCGTTGTAAATCTATTCTTGTGTTTACATTTTAGCTAACTTTTTAGCTGCTTTAGAAATCACTTCGGAATGTGCAATAAACCTTAAAGCATTATTACTATGACTCAAAAAACTAAAGGACAAAGCTCTCGGCGTTAATCTATCCCTGAGGGAGGTGCCATGCATTCGACTTCGTTAAGCATCGTTGGAGGTGAATGAATGAATATCAAGCCTTTACAATGTCTCACGATGACTTATCGATGTATCGAGACAGGGCTGCTATCGTCCCAGACAAGTCTGGTACCAATTTGTCGACCAGGGAAGGATGGAGGGCCTGGTGGGCCTGCGGCGCGGGATCGATTCCATGTGTAATACAGAACTCCTCCGAACATTGTACTAAACATGTCTCGTTAATACTATGACTGGTACGTATTTCTACTACACAGATCCTCATAATTTAACTTTTTTCTCATTACTGTAGTTAATGATTTTGTCGGCGGCTCGTTTATTGGAGTGATTAAAAGATGGACTGAAAGCTATAGAGTCGAGGTCGACAAAATAATACCAGACTTCTCTGGTAGAATGAGAACACTGAAATATGAATTCAGTCGGCTCGACAATGGATGATATGAATAGAGTGGAAAGCATGGCGCTTCCTTAAGAGAATGTTCGACACTGATGCACTTCTTCCCATCCTTTTAAATGCTTTTGTTACAACAACATAGTTTACAGTATTCCTACTACTATTTGCTATATGTTTGCACTACTGTATACTTATTGCATTACTATTCATTAGAAAAACATTCTTTACTGTTATTATTAGCAGTATCAGTAGTATGAGCAGAGATGTAGAAGCTATACGATGTCACGCAGTCTTAGAGAAAAACTAGAAAACTCACCGACAAGTCGAAGAAGGAAGACACCGTCAGTGCGCAACTTCTCTATGACAAACTCCTGAAGGAGTGAACGTTTCTGTTCACTACGAGCCACAGTGGGATCGATCTAAACAAGGAACATAGAGGCTCCATGGAACAAAAGCCACGACAAAGATATACACTGTTTGGGTTCATTCAGAGGTTTCTTTATCGCATTCTAACGAAAAATGTTCCGCTAGAAAGATAAAGCTAAAGCTTAGTAAAAAGAGCGCCTTTACTTCCCTTCTTTGACGGACAACTCATTTGGGTTTAGGTCTCTTGAAGTGAGAAACATGACGAAACTCCGAGAAGTATTTGAGGGAAAGTTCATCCAAAAAGGTTAAAGATATGAATTAAGAGCAATTAGGTGTCCTCAAATATAGATCAGATCGAAATAAGTAATTACTTAGATGTAGTGTTTTTCCTAAAACGAAAAGCTAACGTAGTTCTCAATCTCAAACAAGGGGTGATTCTGCTAAAAATCTTAAATACTTTAAGGAATAAATTAAATTTTTTTTGAACTCCTTGCTGATTACCTCTTAAACACTGCTCGTCTTCCAATTATGGTAGAATTAAATGCTAAACTACAAACATACGAAAGTATGAAAAATCATTGTCTGAAGTAGACCCTACATCGACTATTTAACTGTTTCGAGTTGAAAAGTGTTTCTAGTAGCTGTGTAAAGCATTCCTATAACTTTAAGAAGGAAATTTGAAAAAATGCAATTAAAACATAGTTGACGAGTGATTACTGGCAGCGCCTATAGGTCTATAACACGGACGAGAGAAAGGCGAAACTAAGGACTGGGTTGGCGTTGTGCTGGACGTGTTAGCCCCGGAAAGGATAATAGCGTCTTCGGCACCCACTGCAGACACCGGCGTTCCGTAGTTTTGCAAATATCCCAATAACCTTGTGGTTATATTTCACACAACGCCCCGCCATTAAGAAATAGTAGGCAGTAAATAAAAGCTGGCGAAAAAAACATAGTTTCCCAGCTCAAGAGATGTGGATGATATTTTCCCCAATTTTCGTAGTTTCTCACTTTCCCGCCGAGTTCCGATTTTACGATGTTTTAGAAAACCAGGAATAATTTTGAAATCATGTTGAATCTGATAAAAATTAAACAAGGGAAACTTTGCTTATACATTTCCAAATTTCCGAACCTTTAACAAATTCACTGTAAAAAGGATCAGAATGTAATGAAACCTGTTGGATAAAGCTGTTGACGAGCACTCTGCCACTAAACGATGTTGTTGCTGTCGCAATTGTCCACTTGGCAAAACTGTATACACTAAAAATTTTGGTACAGTATGTAGTTTTTCACTAATAAAGCCCAGCTGGCAAAAAAATATAACACATATTTCTTTATATATTCCTTTTTGTGATAAGCATGGATTTGAAAGAGAACTCCTCCTTCTGCGACACCTCCAAACGGACACGCGTGCTCAGCTAGGTGCACGGTGCATAACTATAGCCATTCATGCATTTCGAAGATTCTATACTAACTAATAAAATATTCTGTCTCAAAAAAAACTATGGATGAATTCTATCGAACCTCACGATTAGCATGACACACAGCCAGTACCAGAGCACGACGAAGATCTTCTCGTTGAACATGTTGATCATCAGCACACACTGAACTGTGTGTCGATGAAGATTACCGAGTACTCGCACATCGTAGTCGCACATCGTCACTCTAAAGTAACGCACGCTCATCGTCGAGAAGAGTTTCGCGATGGCTAACTGTTGCGACTAAGTAGTAAGCTGCTTCTGTATGCATAAATCGTTGAACTATTATGCACTTCATAGACACATTCTCGCTAAAATGAACACGACACGAAGACTACAGCTTAATTCTTTATGTGTTTTCGTCTTGAACAGACATGAGGTTCTCAATAGCAAGATTTATTTAATAATAGTTGAAGTTTCGGTGGTTTTGCCTTCTACAGAGTTTGAGGAGGTCAAATTCAAACGCAATTTTCTCAGTCAAACATTTTCGTAACCAAAGCAGAAAACCTCAATATATAAATTCTTATCCGCATGGAAGACAGCTTCTATTAAGCACTCACCCTCCTCTTCTTTACAATTCTTGCAGCTACTGCTGCAGACCGGCCGCACAGAGTCCTACATGGGCGGGGAACGTGCCTGGCTCAGGCCTGCCTGGGATATGGCGCTAGGTCACGTGTGATCACGAGACACCTCTTGTGGTTCATTTTTGAACTTTTGGAATTTATCCAAAACGCTTCAGAAGTTTTACTCGCTAACGTTTTAGATTCCTGCGCAAGAGTAATGGCTCTCATTGTAAAATCTTCTCCGTTACCTCTTTGTGCTGTATGCCTTCTCAGCGGAGTGTTTTGTTTCAGTTTAAATTCCCGAAGCAGGTGTTCTTTTATACGAATGCATAGTGTTCTACCCGTTTCGCCTTGTGCCCATACACTTAACGAGAGACCAAGTACACCGTATTTTAACTTATGAATAGCCGTTCCTGCCATTAAGGCAAATTATGCAATTTTAGGTTATCCACAGACTGTTGTACCGGGGAGGAAGTCACTATCCTCGTACAGGAATCCAAAACATGAGCGGGTAAAGCCTTCGAAACGTTTTGGATATGTTTCAAAAACCCAAAGATGGATCTCAGAGAAAAGTGTTTTATGACCCTGCGCCACACCTCAGGCAGATTTTTTTCTCAGGCTGATTCTGACCCAAATCGGCCACATTCCACTCTCATGCTGCAAGGCTCCGTGCTCCTGGTCTCCAGTAGATAACTGGAAGACTTACAAAGAACAAAACGGTGGGTTTTTAAAAGAATTCATTGTTATGGGAAAAAAATTTATGCATCAACTTTTTCTGCTGAGGTTATGAATGTGTTTAACTGAGCAGATTGCATGCTAATTGACCTTTTCAGGCCCTGAAGAAGGCGAAGCCGCTAATATTGAACAAATCTTGTTATTAAGAACTTCGTGTCTACTCAATCAAAAACTCTGACTTACTGAACAATTTCAAGGTTAAAAGAAAGATGGTACTGGAAACTAATTCCCTTATTTTCCTTTTTCTCGGCTAAAAATTCAAGTTATTATTTAAGGCTTGAAAACTGACCTCGGAAAGTTTCCCGTCTCAGGCCATTCCCTGCCTTGCCATAAATCAATCGTAACATCCAGTCCCCACATATAGGACTTCACACCGAGTATATTTTTTAGGAAAATCAATTGGAAGATGGTATTCATCGCATAAAGGAACTTCATTACCTGAAATGTATTCACATGTCATGCCCTATTTTTGAGACACTCAATTGAACTGCGCCGTTGCACCTCACGTGCGTAAATGTTCTAGATGAAGCTTTAATATTCTACCGGCTGTGCGTTTAAAGCGAATTAAGACTCAAATCACATTGTGATTTTAATAGCTACGGTTTTCATCACATCAGCGTGTGTGCATAGCCTGTAGGGCAATGGTCAGAGGTCTCTTCAGGACCGACAAGTTGGTACCAAACCTGTCTGAAAGGATAGCAGCACTGAGTCGATACATCGGGAGGCCACCGCGAGTCGTTTTAAGGTCAAGATTTGCATTCAGTCACCCATAGCGCATCCCTCATGGATCGGTCAACGCCAAGAGCTTTATCATTTATTCTTTTTGTGTGCATCGGTAAAGTCGTACAAGGTCCATTTGTTTGATTTTTCAGCAACCTCTTCATCGTTGTTTTTGGAACTTTGAGCTAACCATGTTTATTAGAGTATTCGAATCGAGTTACTAAAACATTGAATATTCGGTCTATACAATACTTACCAGATAAACCATGGTGATATAGCTGCCGCTGGTGATTCGCCTTACTTTACCAGCTTTCACTGTCGCGATGCTCTGTTCCTGCAACTACTTTGCATGACCATCAGTCTTAGGAAGGTAACAGCGAGGTCGTTGTCCGACGGATGATCAACGTTGACTTCATGGATTACCGTACCTCCACCAGGAATGCGGCTATGGTCCTCATGTTCTTATCACGAGAAATTTCATCCATATTCGCATGCATACTACAAGTATCACAAATCGCTCGTACTTTGAAGCCTGAGATCGAGTCAGCAATAATAAACTTCTTCATCAGTAAAAGTGAATCGATGAATCGATGACAGACCAGAACTCTCATAGAGCGCTCTCCATAGTACCACCGGTAGATAGAAAAGAATGGCTTGAGCGGCGAGTATAAATGGTACCCATTGATAGTAACCTGAAACAACTCCAGCGCGATTTCGTGTTCGCTCGTTGCGTTCTTGTACTCATCAAGTCATGCATTCATTCAATCATATACCATACCTATTTGTTTCGTATCACGATCAGTGTAGTTACTAGGAATTTCGACGATATGACTGCCGAAGTCAAAGGCGTTGTGTACTTTGACGTCGGTCATTGGTATAAAGTAAGTATTCTGAACGTAGCAATAGTCCAACGCGTATTCCATCCACCATCCTGGAATCGATTAACGGATCGATATTGATCGATCGGTTTGGGCCATATAGCAACAAAGAAAAAAGGACGGTTCCAGACAGCCGTTTTTCATCTGAATTCATTGGTTGAAACGGAATGTAATGTTTTGATTTGTAGTAATATTTTATCACACAAAACACTTATGATTTTCGTAATGAAAGCGGTGATGATCGAAATTCTCTACGAGAATATATGAAAAAATATGCTACAGAAAAAGAAAAAATTTTTAAAGGATAAAAAGCTTTTCAAAAAAACAATGTGGATTTATTTTTAATCGCTGGTAATAATTGTAGTTACTGTTAATAATTCAATGAAACAGTGTAACTAGTAGGATTTAGCACTTGATAAAACGTACCCTTGTAATAAGCCGGAAACCAGCACTGTATCGGTGAGCCGACGAAACTAAACGATAGACATTCAACTGAGAAGTGACACGAATAGTAGTCGTTGACTAAACCACAGTCGATCACTACCTCCATCCGGAGATGAATGCTGATGTCAGTACAAGTCCGACAGTGGTAACACAGTAGTTGAGACGGTCGGCGAAGTCACCATCTGAGAGTGGCGACACGGCAGACAGAAGACCTTGAACGACATTCATGCTCGTCTGCTCGAAGTCGTCTGTAATTGCGGACTATGCGAGATTTCGGAGGTGGAACGTACGGTTCTCAACAACAAGTGAAGTTTTGAAGCGATTTTAAACGAAGGCTTTATTGCACGTTTATTAGATTATCTGATACCTGGAACATGAAACAACAAAGATCTTGTTTTCACTAAAGATATGATTATTACAGTACTCCTCGTAGGAAGACCTGAGCAATGTGTCAACTGGAATTCTGTCAATGTTTGCTCATTTCGCTCGAAGGTAAATACTCATAAATAGCCATGAATGGAAGGGTGAATGACACTTAAATCACAAACGATAGATCGATCGGAATTGATTGGCTTCGTTGGGGATCGAATCGATTGGCAGACGGTAGTATCGTCCGTCGTCACTGGAGGCCGTATTCGGAGGCGAGCGAGTGGGAAGGCTGGCAGGCACTTCCGAGCCGGTTGCGCGCCGTGTTCTGTTCCCTCTCATCGTCAGCATACCGTACTTTGGTTTCTCTTCGAAGAGACTTTGTTTCTTTGTGTCCGTATCGGCCAGAAATCCAGAAAATGATATTCATGATTGAAAACGGTTTGTGACAGCGTCCATAACTTAAATTTCAGAAGACGATTATAAACATGAGTGAGTGATGGTGGGGCTATTAATGATGATATTCATTCAGAAGACTTGAACTATCGTTGCTGATGAGAGAGCAGAAATTGTGGTTTGCAGAGAGAGAGAGAGAGAGAGAGAGAAAGAGAACGAGCGAGGGAGAGAGAAGGAGAGAGAAAGGTCACTTAAAAAAAAACGAATCACTTCGTTCTAGTACCTCGTTTGTCTTTCTTGACGCATTCCTGTCATGTGCGATGTTTGACATGCACTGAACAGACCGTTTTTGTTAATGGCGGCATACGTACGGAAACAGAAGAACAAAATGGCTACAATTCAAACGCTATTTGAGAGGACGTGGACGAGCGATCTGTGTTTGTCTTCGAGTACAATACTTACTAAATTGAAGACTTCGATGGATCTTATCGTCACGAGTTTCTCTGGTCTCAATTGGATGTTCGTGTTTCTTGATCACTGGAAGAATCTTGGTAGCGATGCAACTAAGAAATTTCCAGGATAGTAAGAAATAATAAAGACAGGAAAGCTGATGAAGACTGAAAACTATTGGTACTTTATATTCACTCACGCTTTTTTGTGTTACTATAAGCAATTTTCGATGAGAGGATACCAGGCTGAGCTGCCTAGTAGGAGGAATCAAATAAAAACTGATAAAAAAGTGGTCTTCTTTTTATTTGCTTCGTAGATGTGTGGGTTGGAAGATCTCAGGGTGATTCGTTTAGTAGGAGAAATCGAGATAAATCTAGTAAACGGTGGGACGTAGGGACGATGAGATGTGAGCAAAACTTCCTTAGTTCGACTTCGAACCCATATTCGTTTTAGCGATCACGTGGTACCCACCACACCAGCTGAGGTTCTCGCTTTGTTCTGCTTTCAGTTGCACCCTTTCCAAACTGAGGTTCCAAATTTGCCTCATATCTCAGCATCCCTATAGTGGCATTTTACATCGCACCCTGTCATGAAAAAAGGATGGACAGAAAATGTAACTTACAACGAATAAGTGTACTCAAAGAAGGCTTATATTTATTGTCTTATTAATACCGTAATTTCTACTAAACGCTTAAAACATTCTACTGATGAAGTCAAATGTCACGTATGATTCAGGATTTCCAGTCATTCATACATCTGAATGATTCAGAAAGGTAGCATACTTTGCTCAAAGGTTTGAAAAAGTGGATAAATTTAATGTGGGACATGGTGAGGAACTCAAGTAATGAAGAACGGTGGTGTTAACAAGGACATTAAAGTTTCCAAAAAAAGACTTGATCTTTCCGAAATTGTTGGATCTGTCATGGCCGTGTTCATCCTAAGTGATTCGAATGTTATGCTGTCATCGGAGTGATCAGGGCTCTACGTCGATTTCAAATCAGTCTGCACTGTTAATAACTCAAAAGACCGACTTTCTATAAACCTCGGCATAGATAGTTGATATATTTATTTATGCGATCTTCGATGTATCGGCGACTTCGTCTTTCTCAGCCTGGACGTGTTTAGTATTAGAATATTTTTATTATTCGGCGGAAAGGAAAGGTTAAAGTGTTAATGAAGATTAAACTTTCAAATAGATGTCATATTGAACAGAAACGCCACTCACCGTGATGTTACGTGCTGGACTGGACCACGCGTTGTTCACGTGTAGTCGCGAGCAAGACACACCGAGGAGTCAAAATATCATTTTGAAATAGGGCGCCAGGTCACGCGTGATAGTGAGGCATTCGTCCTTCCGGTTCATCTTTGGATTTTTGAAATTTATCCAAAACGCCTCAAGAGTTTTGCGCGTTGATGTTTTCGATTCCTGCGCTAGGATCCGCACATTCACTTCAAAATCATCGCCGTTGTGCTCTTGTGCCCTATGCGTACCCAGAAGCGTGTTTAGAGGGATTTTAGCTTTTTCATCCAGATGCTCTTTTATGCCTACACAAAGTGGTCTACCCGTTTCCCCAATATATTCCTCGCCGCATGCATTACATGAGATCAAGTATATTATACCTAAACTCATGCAATCCCAGTCTCTCCCGTTAAAACAGATCATACAGATTTCTGAGCTGCACAAACGATCATAGAGACGGTTTCGAACTAACTGGCGGCGTGGGGTATTGGGTGGGATGTCAACAGTCGTTATATAATTTTCAAGAGCACTTTTTCTTAAGCACTTTTTAATGGCGTGACTTACTTCATTTGATATGAAAGGTGGCTTGAAGGGGATCTCACTTACGTCCGAAACATTATTTTGGGAAACTACCCTACGTTTTTGTCTAAGCCGAGTGGCTTCTACTTCGTAGCCATTGGAAATGGCTATTTTTCGTGCCAGGTTTAGCGACTCCTTCCTTTCCTCTTCCCTTGTGCACACGTTTTTATCCGTTCGGTACATATTTTTGATCACTGCTTTTTCCATTTGTGAAGGATAGAGGAGAGGTAGTGAACTGGTATATTTTTACTACTTGGTTTACGATACCATTTTGTTATATGGCCACTATCTGACAGTTTTATTTGGGTGTTTAAGAATGGAGCCAGTTCTCGGTTGGTTTTTCTCGTGTAAATTTTATATACTCTGACTGTCGGTTTAATAATTCAAAGCACTCATCCATCTGTTCTTGTGTGGAACAGACAATGAAGTAGTCGTCTATCTATCGACAGTAGAGTAAGGGTCGGTGATCGAGAGCTGGAGCTTCCACCTTAGACATGAAAGCGATGGCAAGGTTCGGTGCTAAACGCTGCCCCATGGCCAACCCTCTAATTTGTGCAAAATATTTTCCAGACGACCTAAAGATTGAACAACTGAGACACTGTTTTAAGAGAGTCATTAGTTGCACAATCGACAAGCCGTGCATTTTTATTTTCTTTTCATGCTCTACGAGCAACTCGAGAATGGCTTGCATTGCGGAGTCATTGGACACATTGGTCTAAAGTGAACTAACATCGAACGACTCCATTATATGCGTGCTGTTTGGTTGCGCGCGCCTTAGGTGATCCAGAAATATTATGGTGTTAGGTAGATGGGTTGGAATGAATTTTAGTAGCTGGATTAGGATAAGGTTTAGGAACCGCGTTATTCTATCCGTTGGCCCGCCTATACAACTGATGATAGGTCTAACTTTATATGATGATGGGTTCGTTGATGTAATATTATCAGTTGAAGTAAGTTTATGTGTTTTAATAAGCAAGTAAAGAACAGGGCAAATCGGGTGTTCGTTTTTAAGTCGAGAAATAATTGAATACTGGGGAACCCGCGGCCTTTGCCGTGCTGACCCATTTTCGATTCAATTTTCGGTATTGATTTCTGTATTCCTTTTCAGAGGATGTTCGATAGAGAGAAACATCACTGAGGTGATCCTCTGTTATCTTAATATCCAACTAACTAAGAAGAACTACAAATTCTCCACCTTTATCACTAATAGAAAATCTAACAGATTTTGAATTCAAAAGGTCTCTAACCTGGCGCATACCACATTTTTGTTGGTGTGTGAGGTTGGAGCTTATTTTTCGTTTTTGGTAGTGATTAAATATGCGGAGAATTTCGTCCGAAAATAAACGAAATGTAGGGTCAATATTGTCAAGCTATTTGGTAGCTCTTGTTTAAAGAAAGTTCGGGGAAAGGGTATTGGTAGTAGTTCCCCCCCTTGGTACTACTTTACCTAACCTTTCTAGCCTAACCCTGTAACGTAGCTGATCTTGAAGTTCATGTAGACTACACGTGATCCTGCGCAGGATTGGCTTAGAAACGGGTTGACTAGGTGCAAAACTCAGACCCAATTCTAACAAGGAACGCATATTTTCCGGAAGCGTTACACCTTCTAGCACAGTAACTCTGGATGTTCTTGGTGAGCAGTCTATTTCAGGGTTTTTACTTGGGACTTGACCAGCGGTGGTCCTTTGATTTGACCTTTTTGAGCGGCATGATAGATCTTCAAACTTTTTCCTTAACTTGCTCTTAATATCATACCGAATCTTTCCGCATACCGATTTAGACCCAGCCACTATTTTCTTCCTAAGATTTCTCTCCAAGTGTTGAGCACAATGGTTTTTTTTGTACACATAATTGTTTAATAGTGAAAACATTTCGTTTTGTGTGCACCGCAATGAAAAAAATGGGTAGCAGTTTTATTTCGATGCTCAGCATCTGTTGAGAGCTCTCCGGTAAGCCGCATACTTCGTATAATTTCCTACGTTTTATAAAGTTAGGAATAATTCGATGTTTTAAGCAGCGGCGTACAAAGTGGGCCTTTTGTCGCATTAAGACGATTTTCTGTCTTAATGACAATGCGTCTCTTACAAGTCGAACAAATGTTTTGCTGGAACATCTCTTAATAACTCGGAAAACCGACTTTCTATAAGCCCGGCATAGATAGTTGATATATTTATTTATGTGATCTACACCTGTGAGA